CCTCCAGACATTCCCTGCCATCAGAGGTGGCTGCCATCCCATCTCAGGGGCTGGCTGAGGAGGCACATAGGGTTGCAATTCTGCCAGAGGTTTCTAATGCTCCCCATGATCACATCTGCTGTAGACAGGGTACCCTCCTTTGATCTGGATGGTGACTTTGGAGGAAAGAGCACCGCACAGTCCCCAGTACAGCATACTCAAACCCTTCACTGTCTAGGGGTCTGGGGGCTCACAGAAATGACAGCTGTCATTTCCATGCTCGAGTGGGCAATCTGCACAATTTAACTCCTTTAAGGAATGACAAAAATACTTATCACCATCCCCATTTTACAGATGAGAAAACCATGACTAAGAAAGCTAGAATTATGTGTTCAAGGTCACACAGGTAACAGGTGGCAGAGCCAGGATTAAAACTCAGGGCTGCCCAATTCCCAAGTCCTTTTTTCCTCCACAACCAACCAGTCTGGGTGATTCTGACCCATGTGAATTCTGTAGAGAACAGGGTGTATCTCCCAAGGTTTCTCCCAAACATGACAGTGTCTCATACTGTCCTTGTTTGTGATGGCCTTGATAGTTTTGAGGTATTTTGTAGCATGCCCCTCAGCTGGGATCTGTCTGATGTTTTTCTCACCATTAGACTGGGGTTATGGATTTGGGGAGGAAGAGGAAAGAAGTAAGGTGCCACTCTCCTCACATGACATAATCATCCCCAGGAAGCATCTGCTCTGCACCATGAGGCTGACTGAAGTCTAATAGTTAGGAAGCACACTACAGACAGGACTTCTTACTGCTGACGTGAACCATGGTCACCGGCTAAGGGAGTGTTTGTCAGGCTTCCCCAGCATACAGTGCCTCTTTCCACATTATAGCTCTGGGAGGCACAGCCTGCACTTAGGGAGTGGGCAGGTATGCTCCTCTCCTTGAAGGCCAAGCACCTTTATTTTGTTGCTTAAATTGTTGAAGTTGGCTACTATGAACTCTTGAGTTGGCTCCTGTGTCCCTTTGAGATATACTGCATTTATTTTCAACAGACATCTGTCTTCTCTCTGCAACCAGAGTGGAATCTCCTCAGAGGGAGTGAACCTCCAGAGCACCCTGCCAGGCACAACACAGATGCACAATAAACACATACCGAATCAGGAAGTGAAAAGAGGAAGCAGAGACTTGGGTTCTGTAGTTATTGGTAGTAGATGCCTGCGGTGTACTGCCCAGTGTCCAAGCCTCTTAGTTTTCCTTTCTCATTTTCAGCCAGGTGATAAAGTCAAATCACAAAGCCTACCCCTGGCACAAGGGCTGCCCCCAGGTGGACAACCTCATTCAGAGGCACTGGAACACACGAAGACATGTGCTCAGACTCCCCCTGGATCGCATGCTGCCAGATCATGGGCTGGAGCTGCTCAAGCTGCAGGGAGACCATGAGCAGAGTTGCCAGCAGAGGGCATAGCTGAGCGATAGGTCCTGTAGACTCCTTTTGAGCCCAAACCCATGCTGTGTTCGAATGAGTCCTGCCAGGCTGTGAGTTAGTTAAGCCAAAAACAAATTCTCTTTTCTCTTATTCTGGTATGGCGCTGTAGGATAAGCACGGAACCACAAGATTTGTTTGAACTGCTAGGTCGGTGGTTCAAAGTCCTCGGAAACCCTATACAGGGTTACTATAAGTTGAAAATGACTCGATGGCTCTTAACAACAATAACAACAAAAGTAAAGAATCCTGTATTACTGGCCCACATTTTTTTTTTTTTTTTGTCTTGGACAGTCAGGGTGAGACAGCTCTGAGGCCTGTACTTCTATTATCGACCCTGAAAGGTAAGAGGCTCCAACCTAAAAGAGAAAAGGTAAGAAAGCCTTTCTTTCCTGAGCCCTCTAGTAACTCTGTACATCCATGACTGTCAGCATCGCAGGCCAATGACGGACACCAAGTTTAAAAGCTGATAAATAAGTAAACCTCCTAACAGCCTCATCACTGCTAAACATCTCTACACTAGCAGGGTCCACTGAATCCATAAGCCAGGAAACAGTCACAAACACAGGCTTCCTAGTCTGACCCAGGAGCCATTGTTTCATCATGTGGTGAAACTGCACCAGGAGGCTGTTGTCGTTAGGTACCAGTGGGTCGGTTCTGACTCACAACAACCTTATGCACCAGGTTAGTGACGGTTAAAGGTTTAAACTAAGGTCTCACAGAGTGTCAGTGATCCAGCTGGGGTGTGATGCCACAGAACTGGTCTCTGCCAGCATTGGACCATGTTCCCTTTGGCCTTCCCGGAGGTGCACTCTTCCCATTGGCACCCTGTGTTATAACCAGATATGCCTCTCAGCACAGCAAAGCCAAGTTTATCACAAGCTACTAGGCTGCAGCATTAACCAAAAAGGAAATGGGGAAGGAACGCGCAATCAGTGTCAGATAAAAGGAGGACGAGAGCCCTGTTCACCGAGCTTTGGTTTTCCTCCTCAAAACCAGACTCAGTAAGTCCCATTAATTCATGAGGTCAAAGCACAACAGATGTAAGAAAAGTTATTTGCCCGTTATCTGACAGGTAAAAGGCATACATGTGGGCTAATCAAGCTTGTGTTATTTCTATAAATGATTCTACTTTTGGTGAATGATGCCATCCTCAGCTAGGTAGGCTATCCTTACATTATATCAGTATTCTGCCCAAGGATAATGAAGTTAGACCAGAACGGTCCAACAAGAAGCAGTGGGCTAAGGGTCAAGTGATCCGGTGTTCCAGTCCCAGTGTTAACCTCGTTTAACCATATAACGGGTGCACTTCATCACGATGGGCCCCAGCTGCCTTAACTACAAAAGCAATCAAAACTCTGCACTTTTATCTGGTTGGATTTTGAGGATAAAATAAAATCTAACAAGTGTAAAATGAGCAAAGACCTGGAGTTAAGACACCAAAACAGAAGAACATGTTCAGTATTTCTCAAGTTGAAATAACTGAAGAGAAAATTCAAACCTCAAGTTGCAATATTGAAGGATTCTATGGACAAAATATTGAATGATGGCGGAAGCAACAAAAGAAGATGATGGAATACAAAGAATCACTGTACTAAAAAAACTGGTCAACGTTCAATCATTTTAAGAGGTACCATATGATTAAGAACCAGAAGTACTGAAGGTAGAAGTCCAAGCTGTATTGAAAGCATTGGTGACAAAGAAGCCTCTAGGAATTGATGGAGAACAAACTGAGATCTTTCAACAAACTGATGCAGCAGTGGAGATACTTACTCATTTATGCCAAGAAATTTGGAAGATAGCCACCTGGTCATTCACTTGGGAAAGATCCATATTTGTATCCATTTCAGAGAAAGGTGACCCAAAATAATGCAGAAATAATCTAACAAAATCATTAATATTACATGGAAGTAAAATTTTGATGAAGATAATTCAAAAGTGATTGCAGCAGTACACAAACAGGAAGAAGCCAGAAATTCAAGTCCCTTTCAGAAGAGGATATGGAATGAGGGACATCATTGATGTCAGAAGGATCTTGGCTGAAAGCAGAGAATTACCAGAAAGAAGCTTTACTTGTTATGCAAAGGTAATTTGACTGTGTGAATCATAACAAAATAGGAGAACACTGCCAAGAATGGGTATTACAGAATATTTAATTGTGCTCATGAGGAATCTGTACACAGACCAAGAGGCAGTTGTTCAAACAGAACAAGGAGACACTGCATGGTTTAAAAATCAGGAAAGGTGTACACCAGGATTGTATTGTTTCACCATACATCTTCAATATTTACTGTGAACAGATAAACCTGCGAAATGCTGATAATGCAATCTTGCTTGCTAGAAGTGAAGAGGACTTAACATACATACTGATGAAGATGAAACACTACAGACTTCAGTATAGGTTACACTTCAATGTAAAGAAAACAAAATTCCTCACAACTGAACCAATAAATAACTAAACTAATGATAAATGGAGAAAAGATGAAAGTTGTCAAAGACTTCATTTTGCTTGGATCTACAATCAACACTCAAGGAAGCAGCAGTCAAGAAATCAAACTGTGTTTTGCATTAGGCAATCTGCCACAAAAGACCTCTTTTAGAGTGTTGAAGAGCAAAGATGTCAGCTTGAGGACTACGGTGTGCCTGACCTAAGCTTTGGTATTTAAAATCTCCTGATATACAAGTGAAAATTGGACAAGGAATGAGGAAGATCACAGAAGACTTGATGCATTTGAATTCTTGTGTTGGTGAAAAATACTGAAAGTACCATGAACTGCCAGTAGAAAAAACAAATCTGTCATGAAAGAAATGTAGCCAAAGTGCTTAGAAGCCAGAATGGCAAGGTTTCATCTCTTGTTCTTTGGACATGTTGTCAGAAGGGACCAGTTCTTGGAGAATGACATTCATTATGCTTGGAAAGTGGAGCATAATTAAAAAAGAGGATGACCTCCAAGAAGATGGACTGACACACTTCAGCAACACTGTTGGGTTCAAACATAATAACTGAGGGGATGACATAGGACTAGACATCATTTCTGCCTAAAGTGGGAACTGAATCGACAGCACCTAACAACAACAACAGGTGTGGAAAACAATAGGTGCACACTGCGGTTCCCAGACAGTTATCAGGACCTTCATGATAGAATTTCTCTAGGAATGCTCAGCGGTGCTCATGCCTGCCCAGGAGCAAGGAAGAGATCATCTTCCTGCCAAGGCACTGTCAGGCACCTGTGTAGGGTGTGTGACCAGCCTGCAGAGACCCTCTCTAGAGGGGGCAAATGCAGGCTCAGTTCAACACAGTGGTGGCAAGCCTGGATCTCATTTTCTTCCAGGAAAGTCACACTTTAGAGTCGTTTTCTTTCAGTTAAGGTTAGTCATTAAAAACATAACTAAACATTTTCATGCCTTTGTAAGGCTGTCCACATACATGAATCCACCATTCAGAAACTGACCACCATCACTCCACTCACACAACCCTGTCTCAGCCAATCTCCACCCGATGTCCAGTGCTCTCCTCAGCAATGTGCTGAGCACCTACCCACTCTGGCTGCTCAGTTGTCACTCCTTGTTTGCGGTCAAAGTCCACAGGTGGGGGCAAATAATCCTTCACTGGAGTTGTGAATTCCACAGGTCCTGTTCCTGGCAAGGGGAGTTTCAGCAGTGGGTAGCTGGGATGAATAAAAAAGAGAGAACTGTTAGGTCTCTGTGGGAGGTAGAGCTGGCTCTGCGGTTAGTAACACAGGAACCACTGCAGTTGCAGTGACATTCTCCCCTTCTAGGAGGGCAGAAATGTACAAAAGATTAGAACCATGTTTTAGTTACCTCACACTGTTAAAACTGAAATCCACAAGGGGACGGCTGTAACAGCCAGAAATTTACGCTGTCACAGTTTGCTGTTCTTGTCAAGTGCCATCGATTCGGGTCCAACCCATAGCAACCCTGTATAGGGTTTCCAAGGAGCAGTTGGTGAGCTTGAACCACTGACATGCAGTTCAAACGGCTTTGCAGTCTGGCACATTAACCCATAGTGCCACACCAGGACTCCTGTCACAGTTTAGGAAGCGAGAAGTCCATTCAGAGCCCTGGCTCTGGAGAAACGCCCTTGTCTCATTTTAGCATCTTTAGGCCCAGCATGCTTTGGAGATCTCCAGGTGTCTTGGCAACAATTTTTCCCTAAATCTAGGAGATTCACAGTGCAAGGATCCTGGGTCCAAAGGAGATACTCCACTCCTAGCTTTGTCTGTCTTGGGCCCCTCTGAGCTCTGCTCACTTCTCTTTCCTTATATATCTCAAAAGAGATTGACTTTGTTGTTGTTAAGTACTGTGGAGTTGGTGCCGACTCATAGTGGCCCTGCACTGGGTTTCCAAGGCTGTAAATCTTTACAGGAGCAGAAAGCCTCATCTTTCTCCCACAGAACAGCTGGTAGTTTTGAACTGCCAACCTTGAGGTTAGCAGCCCGATTCATAACTACTACGCTACCAGAGCTCCTTTAGATACAACCAAATCCTGTAGGAATCCTGGTACGGTACTATAGAATAAGCAATGAACTGCAAGGTTGGTTTGAACCACAAGGGCAGTGGTTCAAACTCACCACTTGTTTCTTAGCGAAACCCTATACAGGGTCGCTATGACACTTGACACCCTAACAACAACAATCTAAGAGACTGCATCTGGTATCACGGACTTCATAGAAGTGAGGATTTACAACACTTAAGATGATTTGATCAAAGCTTGATCACATCAGGAGGTGAGCTCATCAGGAAGGGGATAACCGGCTTTACAGCTAAAACAGGAGAATCCTGGCCCAGACAAATGGGCACAAAACCTTAGCTATCACAAACCACAACATTTCTGAGCTAGCATAAATTTTAGAAATCATCAAGATAAGAGTTTTCAAACTTCTTTAATCCAAGAAAACAAGGAAATCCAACTAATTCATTAAATCAACATGCAGAAGATGCATAAAGACTTTGTAAAAACAAGGCAATTTTACAAAATTTTGTGGTCACACTAGGTATACGTTGAGAGAACTAGAAAAAACTAGCCAACCTATTGTTGTTAGGTGTCATCGAGTAGCTACCCACTGACAGCGACCCTATACACAAGAAAACGAAACACTTCCTGGTCCTGTGCCAACCTCACAATTGTTGTTATGCTTGAGCCCACTGCTGCTGACACTGTGCCAATTCACGTCCTTGGGGATATTCCTCTCAATATTCACCGACCCTCTACTGTACAAAGCATGATGTCCTTCTCCAAGGATAGGTCCTGCCTGGTAATATGTCCAAAGAATGAGACACAAAATCTACCATCCTGTCTTCCAAGGAGTATTCTGGCTGTATTTCTTCCAACATAGATTTGTTTGTTCTTTTGGCACTCCATGGTACTTTTAATATTCTCCTTCAACACCTTAAATCAAATGCATCAGTTCTTCTACGTTCGTTAGTCACTGTCCAACTTTCACATGCATATGAGGTTACTGAAAATACCATGGCTTGGGTATGCACACCTTAGTACTCAAACTAACAACTTTGCTCTTCAACACTTCCAAGAAGTCTTGTGCAACAGATTTGCCTAATGCAACAAGTTGTTTTATTTTTTGACTGCTGCTTCCATTAAGTGTTAATAGTGGATCCAATAAAAATGAAGTCTTTGACAACTTCAACCTTTTCTCCATTTATTTTGACATCATTATTTATTGGACCAGTGGTGAGAATTTTTGCTTTCTTTACACTGAGGTACAAACCATACCAAAAGGCTGTGGTCTTTCAAATTCATCAGTAAGTATTTTAAGTCCTCTTTGCTTTCAGCAAGCAAGATTGTATCATCTGCATATCACAGATAAGTCCCTGAGGCCAAGTGTTTCTTCAAATAATCTAGCTTCTTGAACTATTAGCTCAAAATACAGATTGAGTAAGTATGGTTACAGAACACCACCCTGGCGTAAACCTTTCCTCATTTTAAACCATTCAGTGTTCCCTTATTCTATTCAAAAACTGCCTCTTGGTCTATGTATAGGTTCTTCATGAGCACAATTAAGTGTTTTAGAATACTCATTCTTCATAACATTGTCCGTATCATTTCATGATCTACACAATCGAAAGCCTTTGTGTAGTCAAATAAAGCACAGGTAAACATCTTTCTGGTATTCTCTGCTTTCAGCTAAGATCCATCTGATGTCAGCAATGATCTCCCTCATTCCAAGTCCTCTTCTGAAAGTGACTGGAACCTCTGGCAGTTTCCTGTCAATATATTGCTGCAGCTGTTGTAAATTATCTTTTGCACAATTTTACTTGCAGGCGGTATTAATGACATTGCCAGATGATTTCTGCATTCTGTTGCATCACCTCTCTTTGGATTGGGCACACATACGGATCTCTTCCAGTCAGTTGGCTAGGTAGCTGCCTTCCAAATTTCTTGGCATCGATAACTGAGTGCCTCCAGTGGCCCATCACTTTATTAATAGATTTCAGTTTGTATTCCATTAATTCCCGGAGGCTTACTCCTTGACAATGCCTTCAGTGCACCTTTGACTTCTTCCTCCAGTATCATTGGCTCTTGATCATATGCTACCTTTTGAAATGGTTGAACATCAAGCATTTCTTTTTGCTACAGTGATTCTGTGTATTTCTTCTACCTTCTTTTGATGCTTTCTGCTACAGTCAGTATTTTGCCCATTGTTGTCATTAAGTACCATCAAGCTGGTCCTGACTCACAGTAACTCTGTATAGGGTTTCTGAGGAACGGCTAGTGAGTCTGAACTGTCGACTGTGTAGTTCAAACTGACCTTGTGGTTGAGCGTTTATCCTATAGCACCTTTCCATTTTGCTCATAGACTCAGTATCTCAAGTTGAGGCTTGAATTTTTCTTCAGGTCCCTCAGCTTAAGAAATGTTGAGCATGTTCTTCCCTTTTGATTTTCTATCTCCAGATCTCTGCACATTTTATTATATTTGACTCTGTCTTCCTTCATAAGATGCCCTTTGAATTTTTCTATTGAGCTCTTTTACCTCCTCATTTATTTCACTTGCTTTAGCATCTCTATACTGGAAAGCAAGTTTCAGTCTCTTCTGACATCCACCTTGGTCTTTTTCTTCCTTTTTTGCTTTCTTCTGTATGTTTTTGATGTTCTACAACTCTTCTGGTCTTCAGTCATTAGTGTCTAACTCATCTAAACTGTTCTTGAGATGATCTCTAAATTCAGCTGGGATTTGTTCAAAGTCCCATGGTGGCTCTTGTGGACTTGTTTTATTTTTCTTCAGCTTCAGTCTGAACTTGCATATGAACAATTGATAGGTGTTCCACAGTCTGCCCTGGCCTTGTTTTGGCTGATGATATGGTGTTATTCTACTGTCTCTTCCCACAGATGTAGTCAATTTGATTTCTGTGTATTCATTCCTTCTGGTGAGGTCCATGTGTACTGTCCTCTTTTTTGTTGTTTAAACAAGGTATTTGCAATGAACAAGTCATTGGTCTTGCAAAACTTCTATCATGCCATCTCCAGCATATCACAAATGCCTTCTTGTTTAACTAGTGATCCTTCTTCTTTATTTGAAAACCTTGCATTCCAATTACCAGTAACTATCAATATATCTTGATTGCACGTTCAATCAATTTCAGACTGAATAAGTTCTCAGAGTTCTTCAATTTCATCATCACTGACTTTAGTGGTTGGTGGGTGAATTTGAATAATAATTGTATTAACTGCTTTTCCTTGTAGGCATGTGGATTGCATCCTATGACAGAGCGTTGTACTTCAAGACAGATCTTGAAATGTTCTTTTTGAAGACGAATGTGATGCCATTCCTCTTCAATTTGTCATTCTGGCATAGTAAACCAAGTGGCTGTCAGATTCAAAATGACCAATACCAGTCCATTTCAGCTCACTAATGCCTAGGATATCAATGTTTATGGATTCCATTTCAGTTTTAACAATTTCCAATTTTCCTAGCCTCATACTTCATACATTCCATGTTCCAATTATTAATGGATGCTTACAGCTGTTACTCCTCATTTTGAGTTGTGCCCCATCAGCAAATGAAGGCCCCAAAGGCTTTACTCCATTTGCTTCACTACTGTGAACTCTACTTTGAGAAGGCAACTCTTTTCCAGTGGCATTTTAAGTCCCTTCCAACCTGAGGGGCTCATCTTCCCGCACTTAATCTGGCAATATTCTGGTGCTGACAGTGTTCCACTGCTAATCATAAGGTTTTCAGGGACGAAATTTTCGGAAGCAGTCTGTCTCTCCATCTTCCTATTCTTAGTCTCTAAAAGCACATCTGCAATCTGTCCACCGTGGGTGACTCTGCTGGTATTTAAAATACTGTTGGCACAGGTTCCAGAATCACAGCAACACACAAGCCACCAAAGTATGACAAATTGACAGACAAGTGGTGGAGTTAAAGTATTTGCTTTAATTTAAAGAACAGACCACAATATTTGTATATAATGCAACTGGTGAGCTTGAACCACCATCTTGCAGTTCAAACTGACTTTGCAGTCCACATTAATCCAAAGAACCACACCAGGACTCCTTGTCTCATCATACACAAAGGAAAAACCTTTGTCTTACACTGAAAAGATTGGCAGTGGATGTATTTATACACCACAGTGTAATTATCTATTCCACTGTCAAGGAACATATGATACTTTCCAATTTGTGCTATTA